CTTGCCAGATTCTAAATACATTTTTCTTGAGACGTCGGAGAGACTTCTCTGAGGCTGTATTTTACTGGTAAAGAGTTATACTACAAAGTACAGTAAATTAAAATTTCATTACTGATTGACCAAAAAAAGTTATGGTACCATTTTCTTGAAACAAAACTAAATTAATTATTGAAACTTAACAAAACGATGAAATCGACGGCTCTTTTTATTTTTGAGTAAACTAATGAACGGATTTTAATGTAGTTTATCTGAATCATAGGTATTTTTAATGCTTGAAAAAAGGGATAAAACTTTTTTTCAATAGCATCAACGGTTCAACAATTATGCACAAAAAACGGGCTTTCGCACTTTCTTTAATTATTTATAAATAATTGTTTATACACAATGTTCCACAGCCGGAAATCGAGCACAAACTATTGTCTCAATATTCTGACATCCTTTCGAACAACTTCCAATAATCTTTTACCATCATATTTTCAGTGCCCGAAACAGGCCTTTTCAAGTCTAATCCGACTGGAGTCAAAATACGCCAATATTTATCGTGGGCCAAAATAACATGTGATAAAAAATCACAGATACTTGGAACAGGTACGAGCTTGGAACAGTCACACATGGAACCTGTGACTGAAAAATACTCGTTTGTGTCATCCCTAGATCTAAGAGACGATCTGCTTTTATTTGGGAACACGATAAGTCTAATCCGACTAGACTCAAAATACGCTTCAGTCTGGTTTCAGGTACAAACCAATATTTATCATGGGCCAAAATAACATGTGACAAAAAATCACAGTTACTTGGAACAAGTACGAGCTTGGAACAGTCACACATGGAACCTGTGACTGAAAAATGTAGTTGACCACAGATCACAGAGGTTCACGTCACGGTGCATACCCCAGATCCAGAATCCAGTATGGGCGTGGTTGGCAGGCAATTTCCTAAAGAATTTAGCGCTTTCCAAGTTTGAAACCATTATAAAATATTTTCCAATGATCGGCTCAGACTATTCCCTTCCCAAGTCTTCTCAAATAACATAAAACAATCAACAGTCGAAATTACTTACTTACTTACTTGTCTGCATCTAAGGAAATTACGTGTTCTGGCAAGTTGGCAACGTTCAGATGTCGACCAAATTCCATTCATAAATACGTCCTTATTGCGGTGCGTGCCTTTGAAAACTACCCCAAATGAAGGCGATTATTTTGGCGGCGAAAAAATCATTACACTAATCCTGCCGAGCCATTCCTGGCGCCAGCAGCCAAAGTTTCCCATACCCCCAACCTTAAACACCTTCAAACCGATCAATACTCCATCAGGCAGCTTATTGCCCGAAAAAATTTTTGGGAGTTTTTGCCGCATTAATAGAACATAGTTTTGAGTAAGTAGGGCGCCGTCATAGGCCACAGTGGGGAACATATTCCCCTGTTGCAATTTTTTGAATTTTTCCCCGGAGGAAAATGGCCGGTTTTGCAGCCCAAGCCGCTTTGAGGGCCAAATGGAGCTCATTGGTAGAGGAGCATTCGATCGAAGTGCCCCCTGAAGTAACCAACAAGGTTACCACAGTGGTGGGCTGGCTCAAGCAGGTTATTATGCCAATTGCACTAGTTGTTGCTTCAAGTAGGCCTGTTTTAGAGCATAGGCGCAGTAGACCGCACTTATAAGCATAGAAGAAGCGTTTTAAGTGGAAATTTACACAGCAAAGCACAAAAGCGGAACGTGGACCGGACAAATAATAATATAATAAAAATAAAATAATAACTTTTCCTTGTCTCATGCAGCCTAATTATTTTTAATATTGCTTTATAAAATGGTATTTAAACTGTCTAATGCGGTTCGGGATGAATCGCATACTTAGCTAATGTTTAATAAATATGCACCTAAATCGCTAGATCGCTTTACAATGGTATGTAAATAGGAATGTTCACGATGAATCACATAACTACTGACGCTTGTTATTAGGTATTTATCGTAATTTGGCGAAAAAATTGCAGACATTTTAAATCACCCTGTACAGGGTTATTCACGCTATACGACACGGACGTTCACGGCTAGCCCGTTTGTTTTTTTGCAAAGTATTATTTGATGAATCCACAGACGCCTATCGGGTGCACATTTTAAAAATATTTTTGTAATGTACAGAGTGTCCCAAAAGCCCT